TCCTTGGAAGTGCTGCCCAGTATTTTCTGTACAGCCCCTAAATCATGATACATTGGGTTCATTCTACTCTTGGAGTTGGTATTGTGGTGCAAAATTCTAGTCTTGACTGTATCAGGTTATGTCCATACTGATTCATAAAGGGCTCAGAACCCCCAAGTTATGTACTTTGCTTAGTTGTTCTCTCCTTCTATCAGTCTGTCTGGATGTCCTGTGACAGGGAGGTCTCTGGAGGTCTCTCTCTTGCTTACTATGTGGACTCTGATTCCATGGGACCTGTAGTTTGTAAGCTTTCATTGCATTATGATCTTTATGTTGCATAAGACCAAATGGTTTGTAGAATTCTTTAGAGATGTTTGATAATTTATGTTCTGGTGGATTTACAGAGTGAAAGATGGAGGGGAAAAACTGAATGTATATAGAGCAAAACTATAATGTAAGGGCAAATTGGTATTAAAGATACTTTCACAATTTAGTGCTCTGAAAAAGTGCTAGAAGCAAAGCATTTTGCAAATATAGTAAGCCATTTAAACACCAAGCTGTGTCTGAGGGAGCAAGTGCAAAGGAGATTATCAAAATACAGCACAAATCTACACATCAACAGAGCAATCTAATTTACATTTTTTAATATATTTGCCTTTTCTCAAAATATATCACAGGATAAACAAAAGGAATTCAGAGAAATAACAAATAATGATGGACTCAGAAAGGCCATTAGGACATTCGTGGAAAAATAAGTCTGAAGATATAATCTCATAGAGTCGAATCTGGAATGGAGGGAAAGGGTGTAAAGACTTGCACAAGATCAATGGGAGTATTAACATGTAGCACTCTGCAGTATTAAGGGCTGTGTTTAATTCTTAGTTTGTCTGCTTAGACCCAGTACATGCATTTCATTGTAAAATTGAATTTTTTTATTCTGTGGTTTTAACTGTAGTCTTCAGCACTGAGCTTGTTTTCTCTGCAGAATGTTTCCCAGTTCTTCAATGCCCATTTATGTGGATTGGATGCAAGACTCTGGGCAGGATCCTTCTGTCAGACATACCTTACCTGTTCTGTTCCAAGGCTTTATTTTCATAAATAGGATTGTTATGATTCACCTCCACTTAATAAAAAATTACTGATTGGTTTGCAACTGAGTAGTACTGTACCCATAGAGTAGAAACCTACACTAACATCTCTGAGCACATGCTGCTATTTAGTTCATTAAATAATGACTTGCAAACTAATTTTTACTCAGCTGAGACATGCCTGGTAGAATAAAACATACCAGTAAGTAATGAATTTAGGAACTGAAAAAATGAAAATACTTTGAAAGTACTACAGGTTAGATGCAAACTTGTTAAGGTTCATTACTTTTTAATATGTTCTTTCTGATATACTTCACTTTGTCACAATGCAGGCTGTTGTAGTCTTGTCAGTGAATGATAAAACTGTTCAATTACTCTTTCTTACTTCATGGATCTGAGAAGTACTCTAAAGTATGCTTCAAAACTGTTAGGAAAATGGTTCCCAAAGTTCTGGCTTGTTTTCAAAAATAATTGCGTTGGGTAGTAGCTACAGTTTCTTATTTCATTTTTTTGCAAGGCTCTAAAACAATTCTGCTGCATCTTTAAGATAATGAAGGCATTTTATCCTCACTTTTGGGGAAAATGAGTAGATGTGAAGGCTTTTGTTGTCCGTTGGTTTGTGCCACAGAATGGCTGGTCAGTTGCCCTGATCAGAATGGCAGCCCAGCAGCCCAACAAGACCAAGAAAGGGAAGTTCCAAGTGGATGACCTTTCCTCTTGTTGTAGGAAAGAAATGCTTGCTTACTAGAAGAGAAAGATATGAATTGTGGTGTTCCCTGAAGGAAAAAGCAATAGCAGGAGAACTCAACAGCTAGAAAGGAGCTGTTTAGGTCTGCGCTCTTTAGCTGCAGAATGTTGAGCCTTGTTATTCCACTGCTACAAAGCGGGTTGTATTCAAAACTGATTAAGAGCAATCCAAAGGAATGATTCAGAGGTAAAGATGAAGAAACATTCAGGACATAACCAAACTCCTCCTATCAAGCTTAAAAGAAAGGACAGTGAGTGAAAATCCTTGAAATGAGAGTTCTCCTTTTTGTTATAGCTAGCATCAATACAGCATTCTCTCCTTTGGATCACATACGTTGACTTAGGGAGTTATCTCAGAAGAAAAAAGATGAACACATGAACACTTACTGAAGAATGAAAGAGAAATCCTTAAAAAGGGGGACTGAAAAGAAGTTTAAGTGAAGTTTGTGGAGTAGATGGGCAATGTGTGAGTTAAAGCAGATCCAGTATTCAACAGGGAAGTGCAAAGGGAGCAGAATGTCATATTTATGCATTTGGAAAACAGGAGAGTTCTAGACATGCTCTTGGACATGAGAGAACTCTTAAAAAAGATAGGAGAATAAACTTAAGTATTCTAAAGAACTCTTTTCTGACTGTATAGTAAGGAAATAAATAAAACCTAAGTTCATGTGCAGGTGGGAACAGTACAACTTTGACAGGAAGTCCATCTGTGAGGCCCAGGAGCACCTCTTGTTTGCATATTGCTCAGATGAGAATCTGATCTATAGGATATCGTTGTAAATGGAAACTGAGATGAAATTCTGTTTGTCATTGCATCTTTAGATTACTTCAAACTTCTACTCTGTCAATAAACACGTTGGGAACAATGTTATGTTTGCATAGCATACATAAACATTGTTGTCTAAAAAATTTTAAACGTTTTAAGCAATCATTAAAAATAAAAGCAGGTATTGTTGTGGATAGGTGGCATTATGCTGCAGAAGGATAAAAATTTACAGTTCAGTTAATTTCTGTATTGCTCTCATACACTGGAAACTTTGTGACTTTAGACAGATTAGTTTGTGTAGTTTCTCTTTTTAGGTATTCAAATAGTTTTCCAATTATTTTATTATTTTGCATTATTTTACAGAAATTATTTTACAGAACCTACTGTTTAGTCGGGGCCCTGCAGAATCGTGAGTGTGCAGGTTTAGATACAATGCTGTTTTATATTCCAAGCAACAGTGTTTGAGGTATAAAAATAAAGCTAATGAGATGTAGACTTAGTTTCAAGCAAAACAAAAATAAGTTTTCTAAATAGGGAAAATTAGGAAAGTCTGTAAAAGCTAATAGGAAACTCAGGCCAGATTCTCAGCTTGATGAATTCTCAGTGCTTCATTGAAGTAAAGGTCTAATGCGGGAAGACCTGTCTTCAAATCACCAAAATACTTCCGAATGTGAGGTTTTCTTTGACGCCAGTAGGTGCAGGAAAGGGTGACAAGTGTGATAATTAAAAAGGAATCTCCCAGGAAATCTGGTGCATTAATTTATTGTGAGAAATAGCACTGGGAGATGCTGCGTACCCCACCGACCAGAAATACTTTACGGTTCACAAAGCAGAACCAGCCTATTGCATGGAGCAAAGAAAAATATTAGCAAATGGTAGCTATTGACAGCACAGGGGCAGTAAAAGGGGAAGAAAGGAACTTAAAGGTGTGTTGCCATACTGATTCCACAGGTTTTTCCCATTTACCTAGAGAAGCAGTCACCTTGGATGCTCAACGTTTACCGCAGAGCTTTTGAAGCACCTTATAGCATCTATCTGTGTTTCCTGGCAGTGATTTTCTAACTGACAGGACAGCAGTAAGACCATTGAATTGTGTGTCACACAAACTATAGTGTGCATGGTAATCCTGCAAATCTTCTGTAGACTGGATGCAAGATTGAGAAAGTCACTGATCAAATACTTGAGGATGCTGGACATCAAATGATATATCCAAAATTTCGGTAGCTTCAATTCTAAAATAGCAGGATACAGGATTTACTGAGATTAATTATTATATGAAGGTGTCTTAGCAGATTATTTCAGAGCTCTGGACTGTTGACTCCAGTGATTTAATTTACTGAGGCCTCCAATTTTCTAATATGCTTAGAAATGCTTTTCTGGTATATGCAAACTAATATAGCAGTGTAAACCCTAATGCAACTGTAAGAATTCTGCCTTGATAAAAGATCAATGAAATTAAAAGGATTAAGCCTGGGCCAAATCCGTGACAGCTTTGCTTACCACAGCATAGAGAAGCTTATGTAGAGCACTGAACAACCTTGTTCCTCCAATTGGGGTAAATTGTGGCTGTCACAGAGGAAAAAAAGTGCTGTTTTTCTGCCAGCTACTCCAAGAAGGGAAGGGGCATGCTTTCATCCTTCACCTTGAAGACAAACTATGTCATAATTTCAGGAAAGCGCGTGTTGTAAATGGGTGGCAGCAGCAGTTCCTCGCAGGGAATTTTTTCAGGCTCGCATGGGGCAGGGCCACAGGTGTCCCCGCACCATGTCCCCATCACCCATCCCTGCCTGCTCTGCGGTGGGACCCCTGGGCTGCCCTGCCCACCTGCCTTCAGCTTCTGCAGGTAGGTGGGTCATTCAGACAGCCTGTGAGATGGCCTTCTCCCAGCCGTCATTTCACAAGTGCTGTGCCAAGGTAGGTGAAATGCGTTGACCTTATTTTATGGGAGGCATTTATTAGGTGGTAGGAATTATTCAGTTATTTCTCTCTTTATATGAAGTGCTGGGCTAATTCTTATATTGTGTCTGCGTCTTTCAGTGCTCTTCTTAGATGAGATTTATACCTCATGAAATCAAATGGTGTAGGTGCAGCAATTCAATGTCAACTTGATTTATTTATTTCCCCAAAAATCCTGGGACAAATTAAGTGAAAGTTATATCTTCTTTTTTTTTTTTTTTTCTTTTGTTGCTCTAACTACAGTGCTGAAGAGTGTGTCTGTATCTAATAGTCTTCATTTCAGTAGGGCTTTATATCTTAAATTATTTCACACTGCACTAACAGCTTACAGACACCTGAGTTAATGTGATCGGTCGCACAATTCTCGCAGTCCTTTAATCCCATTAAATCGTATATCATCCCCAATGCTCTCCCAGTGTTTTCCAAGCAGTAAGCTCCCGAGTTTCCTCTCTGTGTTGTTTCAGACATGCCAGGGAGCCCGCACAACCAGTTCACATTCAGACCTCTCCCACCACCGCCTCCGCCGCCACACGCGTGCACCTGCACCAGGAAACCACCGCCGGCGGCCGACTCTCTCCAGAGGAGATCAATGACGACCCGCAGCCAGCCCAGCCCTGCTGCCCCAACGCCCCCCACCAGCACACAGGATTCTGTGCATCTCCATAACAGCTGGGTCTTGAACAGCAACATACCGCTGGAAACCAGGTATGGACCGACCTGTTCTACACGGCTTATCCTAAATGTTAAAGAGGGAGGAGGTCTGATGCTGATGTGAGAAGATGAAGGACTGCATGATTACCATGCAAAAGCATTTTGATTTGAATCCATGTTGTGTAGCCATGTGTGTTTTTTTTTTTCACTTGATTCATCTAGCTTGATAGAGCTTGTAAAAGCATATGTTTTGCAAAGCTGGGGAAGAGACTGATTTTCTTAATTAGTGTAAATTATGACTTTGAAGGTGTGTGCAGCAAAGACTTGTGTTTATGTACTTGTATGACCATCCAACGTTCTCCCAGAGACATTTTGTAATCAGCAAGTAGAAGTTTTGTTTAATTGGTGATCTATGGCACTTCTGGTCTTGGTCCGTCTTCAGGCTTTGGCTTCCAGATGATAAGAAATAGTAGGAAATAATATTAAAATAATGTTTTCATCGAGGTGTATTTAAACATTTTATTGCACATACCTACAAAGAACACCATCTGATAATAGAGAAGTTATACAGGTCCAGGGCATTTATGGATCATGAAGAGCCCTACCTTTGGGAGCTGGCAGAAGGACAGTTCAATTTCGGGTTCAGACACGATTATTTATAAATAATATATTCTGAAAATAGTGGAAAGCAAGTATATCCCATGTCCAGCAAACCTGTGAATCAGTACTCAGCATTCTGCCTGCAGAACTACATGAACTGCTTCTTCTGTCATTTTGATCGTACGTTTTTTTATTCCTGGTAGGTATTACCTAATCTGTTGGCTTTCAGCAAATCTGTGTTTGATACTGAGCACAAACCCTTGATTTTCTACAATCTTTTTCCACTTCATTGTGAGCAGAGCACCGAGAAGTCTGGACTAGGGTTTCCTTTAGGTCTTGTAAAATTGTAGTTGGTGAAACACAGATAAATCTCTGACGTTTAGCCAATCTGATCAACAGAATGTAAGGTAATATGTAAAGAAGTGTTTTCTTGTCTATACACATATATCCAGTGTGTATTGCCATTTATCACAATTGTCACTGAGAACTGTATTTTCTCTTTTATAGAAATAAGTTTTTATTTTATTACATAATTTAATTTTAGTATACATCTTTAAACACTTAACTGCTGCTAATCACAACTGTCAAATTCGTTTTTTCCTTACTGAAAGGTTATTAAGTTGGGATTGAGAAATAAATTGATTCGTTTTACAGTCAGACTTTTTTTATTTGTTTTAAGGATAAATTACAAAAAGAGTGAAAGATGTTGGAAGCTTTCTGCCAAAAGGGAACACAAGGAAAATTTCATTAACTAGTCCCTCATCTCTGTGTGTTTCTTCAAAATAGAAATAGAAAGACAAGGATAATGTTATTTTTCAAATTCTTACATTTGAAAATCCTTCTTAACTACATTTATCAAATTTCAAAATAAAAAACTGTCATTTAAATTTGAGTCAAAAAAGAATATATTTATCTTATTGAACAAGAGTATTTCAGGAAAAAAAAAGCAATAAAGGAATAATAATGAAATAATATTCATTGAAGATAATAAAAAATACAAGTTTCAGATATTAAAACATCACTAAGTATCATTGAAATTCCATTACTCTTTAAATGTGCTTTAAAAAAATCAATATTCAAGAGATGGCTAGGTTCAGAGCTTCTGTTCACATAATCTTTATAAAGATAAATCCCTGTCTCTTGTGATGTAACAAGCTTATCTATCCATACCTTCTGCTATGTGAAAGGTTTTTCCCTAGGCATTCTGTGCCGAGTATCTTTTGGCTTCCTTCAGTCAACACTTAAGTAGATCTTAATTAGCCTTTCTGTATCCCCATTCACTATTTCCTCTTCAGACCTCCTTGCTGGGGAAAGTACTTTCCCATTCTGAATC